AGCGATAGACAGATAGACAGGGATATAGAGAGGGAGATAGACAGGCTGACTGTCTGTAAATAGTTACATTGCAGATAGCTTAGATAGTCATACAGATACATGTAGATAAGACAGGTAAATGGTCAGGTAATAGTCAAAGTTATCAATTCAACTTATATTTCTCTCCCACCTCTATGTCACAATCTTTCTTTAAAATGGTACTGAGACTTCTTAAATATTCAATATTTCATTTTTTTTCTGCAACACAGCTCAAGACCAACAAAGCAGCTGAGAGTTCAAGTAACTGAAGCCAAAGATTATTTTTGAACTTGATACCAGTATAAGAAAGGGTCAGCTTTCCCACCTATCTAGCCTGTTCTAGGCTCTCAGATAATGGGGAAGACGCGAAAGAAAAAGGTACGCAAAAAGTTGGCAGGGCAGGAAAAAGGAAGGGAGAGAACTCCGCCAGCCCTTCTCTCCCCAGTTTACTCCCGTTTTATTTTTGTTTTTGCGCTTTCTCAATTCAGCGGGCCCGACTATCTCAGAGCCTGGAATAGGCTACCACCTATCCAGTTCCCAGCTCTAACATAGTACTGTGCAGAGATGGTGAAAACTGATGTAAAATATGCCTTGGGGGTATTTTTGATTGGTTGCTTGGAGCGAGGTGCTTATGTCCCCTTTCCCACATCAAATGCATCCTATTGTCCGTCACGAATTCCCTACATGTACTATCAGAGAGCTTGGCACAGGGTAGATCCCACTAACAAAAGAAGCATGTTTAATCAATCTTTTTTATAAACATGTACATTTTCCCCAATTTTTAGGTCTTGTGATATCACTTTCCACAACTCCATTCATTGTTCATTCAAATCTTTATCTTGCTCATGTCTTTATGGATCAGTATGCCTTACATCTATTTATAATATTATAAAGACTCATTGAGTATACTCCCTTGGGAACAGTGCGTGACTAACCCTGGGAAACATAATAAACTAATTATTATTCATAAATGAAAGCAAAGTGTCCATCAGCAAGAGCTCAAGGAAAGCTGGATCAATGTTAACTTTTTCCTCTGAGTTCAATATCTTGCATAAAACGTTTGCTCTAAGATGTAATAATATTAAACTAAAGTTTTCCCCAACCTCGTCCCCATGGCGCTTTTCCCTGGCTTTAAAGCGGGAAAAGCGCCCTGGGGACGAGGTTGAAGTTTTCCCTTGAAATTACATGTTATTGTGAGAACCTCTGCAAAAAAAAACAGTGTAAACCCTTTTTAGGATATATTCTTTGAAACATTCAAATTTAACACTGTAATAAAAAATTTTGCATTTGATTTTAATATTATTATTTAAATCTATTAAAGATCAACAGTCCAAGTTATGTCTATGTTAGTGTGGCCATCCGATCTCCTTGGGAGATGCTGGTTTGATTCTGCAAGATGCACACATTCCTCCACTTCATAGACATTTGTCTGCTTGTTCTTAATAAGCTTTGAAGATCTATAAGCAACAATGCCATTTACATTGTAGCCATAGGTAAAGGCCGTCATGTTTCTTGTACCCCCACACATTTGTCGTTGTGATGAAAAAAAAAAGATTCAACAATATCTTGATTTAGTCTCTTTGGAATTATGTACAAACTTCCATACTCAGCTTTGAACTCATCAGTGTTAATGTAGGCAACAAGCTCTTTAAGGCCATCTATGGATACCTGAAGGTATGTATGAATATGAAGTGACCATTAGTTTTTGGAACTTGTTACAACCATTTTGTAATCACTGGTGATACTTACAATTTGATTGGTCCTCTGCAGTGTGATTTATTCACTAATAAAGCTATTCTATTTTCATTATATAAACAGCTAGGGAAATGCCAGGTGAGCTTTGATGCAATTTAAACATGATATCTTGACACCTAAAAACAACACATCATTTTGAAATGTGAAAATGTCACCATTTCTATAGTTAATTAGTTAGTGGGTAATGTTAGTCTTACCTCAAGATCAAACATTGTTTGCCAAGTAATAAAATGGTCTGAAACATCTGCTCTTCTCTTAAATATCTGGCTCAGTTGTTGTTTCCAGGTTTTAAAATAATTCAGTACTTGATTTAATTTTGCAATTCGGGGATCTGTTATTGATTGAAGAGGCATGCTGTCATTGAATACATCCTAGAGTGTGGCAGACATACATATGAATTCTTGTGTTTCGTATGTTTTATTGTTCTCATGTGCAGCCATATCTTGCTGAACTTTCCTTGATAAGGTCTGCACAGCAAGCTTAACCCTCATCTTACTTAAATTATCCAGATGAACATGTGCACTTCTTAAATCGGTAGTAATAATAATAATAATAATTAAACATATTTATGCAGGATTGCTGCTTCAGTTTTAAGAAAAAAACTGCTATCAATGCAGGTCCTGTAAATATAATCTTAGTATATAATATAATAATATAATAGTATATAATCTTCTTCTTCTGTCCCTCTGATACACGGAGTAAATATGCTCCCATAATATGTATTTGCCATTTCTTTGCAAAACCCGGGTGAAACAGGGATTTTGAATTTTAAAACCACTACTGTAAATATTGTTTCTTAGTTTTTTCAGAAGATGCTGAGGGTCAGAGATAAAAAATAATGGTTTTTTCGAAAAGGGGTTATAGCACTTGCTCTTAGAAGGATTAGTTCCATTCATGTTCATGAATGCCCTGTTCTCTGGGGCTCCATCGCAACATGCAAGCATTATGGTGAATTGGAAACCATGTAACATACTCACTCCCTGCCAAAAAATTCTGTTTAGTTTTTGGGAACTAACCCCTCTTGTTGGAAAAAATGCACATGGAAATTCAAACTTTCCGAACAGGCTCTTGAAGTAAAACTGAAGAACATGTGTTGCCAGTTTATTTTGAGGGTTACAATCAGTTTCCTTTAGTTGACCAACTACAGGTAGGTCAGTTTCATCATCATCCAAATCAACAAATCCTACCAGTTCAAATGTTGATGGATCAAAGACAAGACCCTCTTTAATTTTCACTTCATCAAAAAAGAGGCCTCCAAGCTGGCCTCTCTTTCCAATTTTTGTTTTGTCAAATTTCTCCTTCATTTCCCACAATGTTGAAGTCTGCCACCCAGAGCGAGGTGATGAAAAGTTCTTGTAGTCAGAAAGTAAGCGGCCACTTGGAAGCTTTAAAAAGCCTGAGTCTCTTAGATCTTCATATGCTGCATGAGATTTTGAATACATTCTCAGACACCACTTTATAATAAGGGGGTGCCATCTCATTTGCCGTTTTGGAACAGTCAAAGCCTTAGCCTGATCACATAACAACACACCAAAAAATTGATCACTTGAATAGCCTGTATGATCCCTCAAGTGTGTCTCCAGAAGAGCTTTCTTTCCAAACGTTTTATAGCATTTGTCCCAATGACATTTATAGATCCGGTTAATTGGTGCAATATTTTCATCTACCTGTTCTATATGGGCTCTCACGTGAAGGTATAGTTGGTCTGCTTCAACCCAACCTGTTGCATCATCCTTTGGTTCTGAGCATTCCTTCCATTTACACTTTGAAATCTGTTTGCCCCTTCTGGTTTTTAAAGCTTCATTTAGTTTTTCAAACATCGCCCTTAAGTTACAATCAGTATCTCCCCCTACCTCCACCATTTTTTCTCTGCACTTTTCAAGTTGTTTGATTTTTTCCTGTAGACTCCTCATCTCAATCGTTCTCTCTCGAAGCAACTGGAGCACCTCTTCTTGACTAAGATAGTCAAAACGTGTGAATTTGGAGTTTTCATTATTTTGAGATTGATGACTATGTGAATTAAGCCTTGACTTAAGAGTTCTTAAGTAGTGCTTACTGTGTTCACAAGCTGCACATATGTCACTTGAGTGTAAAGCCTCGTCATAGGGGATGAAAACAAGACAGCTTGTTGACCGTATGATTTTTTTATGATGCTGGGATGGACTGGTTTCAACAAAGGCAGCAGGCTCCCCATTTCGGGTGTAATAGACAGGCTCAAACATTCCCTTTGGTACTATTGTCTGAAACTGTTCAAATGGGCAACCCACGATACTCTCAGGGACTGAATGGTGACTAAAAAGCTTAACTAAATCTTGAATTGAATTTACTTGCGGTGAAACATCCGCCCAATCTAAGTTGATCTTTTTTTTCCATTCCCTCGTGGCGAATTGTCCAAACTTTGTTGGAGTCAATTATAATTTCAATTTGGGAATAGCCAATGGATTTCCACCAAAATAAAACAAATGACTTGTATTTTTTTCCTCATTAAAACACTGCTTCCAGTTTGGAAATTGGGACAGATCGAAATTTTCAACAAATCTTGTCTCGAAGACAGTATCTTCTTCTGTGTCACTATTCATACCTTCTTCAGCTGGAGGGTTCCCTTTCCTTGTACATTCTTGTGCTAAATGTTTACGTAACTCAGTCACTGAATCCATGATAGTGTCACGCGAGGAGATTAAAGCTTGAAGAGTCGATGAATTGGTTGTGACGATCCTCTCGATTTACTCTCGATAATACCTCCACCTCAATATGCCATTGACTTTTCCCAAGTCTTTCGTTAAGTTATTGTTGGCACGATACAGATAATTAGCGATCGCAGTGCTGCTAAAGTGCACATGAAAGACATTCTCAATTGCAGTTGAGATGTTGAGGTATTTTTCGTGATACCTGGCTCTAAAGCTGTTACCTGGAAAAGCGACGACTAAAAGGGAGTATAATAGCAATTCACTCTCACATAGTTCAATACCGGTACTAAATTCCAGATACGAAGAAAATGTTTGTACTCGTGTACCTTTTGGTGACTCTGCTTGGGAATGTCGCCCGGTCGAGTCGACTTCGGTCACGGCTTGTGACGTGTTTTCTCCATTAGATTCTGCTGTCACTGAATTATGGCTTGAAATGTTTTTTTGTCTGTGTTCTTCTGTGTTGTTTGAGCTGTTACGCTGAGAGGCAAATGCTGCAAATTTTTTTGCGGGAGGTTTCGTCGGCGTTGACAAGCATCTCTT